ACAGATGAAAGGAACTATAGATAAGCACTTGCTTGGTAGTTTTTTAAGGTGGTACAGATCAACATTTTTTTTTTTTTTGAGTCAGGGTTTCGCTCTGTAGTGCAGCCTGTCCTTGAACTTCTCTATACTCTCTTATGTAGCCCTAGCTGGTCTTGAACTCACAGGAATTCTCCTGCTACAGCCTCCTGAGTGCTGGGATTTTACACATGCACCACCATACCTGGCTAGATTAACCATTCTAAAAACTACTACATGTACACATAGAAAAGCAGGGGAGGGTAACTTTGTAATGGAAGAATGAACTTAGCCAAGTGGTCAAGGTCAATATCAACAGTCTAAATCCTGTTGACAGAATGTACTCTCTACCACTGTGTCCCATCCCCAGTCCATGCACTCCTGATTATGATAATGACTCTCTACTTCTGTGATCTTCCTTACAAAAACTATGAAGAACACATCAGAAAAATTCAAATTCAGTGATGCTCTGATTAACGCCTACCATTACTGAAACCCATCAATAACCTCAAAAACAAGAAAGTCAGAAATTATCACAGACCAGAGCAGGTGAAGATATGATGACCAAATAGAGCATCTTGGATGGGATTCTGAAGCCAAAAAAGAAGAAAAATTGATGAAATTGGGAAAAAGCATGAAGTTTAATTAATAATAATAATGAAGAATATATAAAGAACTCAAAATAGACTTTTCAAAATAAAAGACCCAATCAAAATATAGGCAATCAAAATGAATAAACACTTCTTAGAAGAAGTACAAATGACCAATAAATACATGAAAAACTGTACATCATTGTTTGCCATTACAAAAAGGCAAATTAAAACTATACTGTGATGTCATCTTACCCCAGAAAGAATGGCATCATCAAAAAATCTAATAATAACAAATGTTACTAAAGTATGGAAAAAGGAACTCTACTACATTACTGGTGGAAATGCAAACTAGTACAACCACGATGGAAATCAGTGTGGCGATTCCTCAAAAAACTAAAACTAAAAATTCCACTTGACCTAGCTATCTTCCCAAAAGAGTTAAAATCATCCTATTACAAAGATACATGCATGCCCATCTTTATAGCAATACAATTTATAATAGCCAGATCTTGGAAACAGCCTGTATGTCCATCGACAGAACAATGGATATGGAAAATGTGATAAGCAAGTGGTACTATGCTGCATGAGAAAGATAAACTTGAGGCAAATATTATGTAACTCAGATACATAACAAATGTTATGTATCTCAGTTACAACTGAATGTACAACTTCAAGGAGAGGCATTTTTACAAGAGTAAGTACAAAGGAGGAAAAGAAAAAGAATCTAATGACAAACACTGTTACATATATCAGCACTATTTATGTAACATATCAATATTAAGATGTCTTTTTCTATGTGTGGCATACGAATAATTACAAAAAAGATGGAAACAAATGGAAAGCTTACTAAAGAACATTAAAATTTTTCATTATGTCCAATTTTGGTAAGTTATTACTAACAGTACAAAAAAATAATATATAATAATATAATAAATAGTATAATAAACATGTTGCCATCATCCAAATTCAGTAATTATCAACTTATAATCAATCTCATCCATCTTTCCACCACACTCAATGGGTCATTTTGACACAGATCCCAAAGAACTTAGTTCATTTGTAATGTTTTAGTACGTACTAGTATTAAAAAGATAATATTTTTAAAAACTTACCATTATAGCTAGATCTGGTGGCACACACCTGTAATCCGAGCACTTGGGAGACTGAGGCAGGAGGATTGCCATGATTTCGAGGCCAGCCTGGTGAGTTCAAGGCCAGCCTGAAATACGTAGTGAGACCCTATCTCAACCCTCTGCCTCAATATATATCATCTATTCCTAGCTGAGCATGGTGGTACATGCCTGTAATCTCAGGACTTGGGAAGCTAAGGCAGGAGGATCACAGCAAGTTCCAGGCCAGCCTGAATGAACTACACAATGAGACCATATCTCAAAAA